CTCTTTAAAGCTTGTATTTTGGATTTAATACCTGACGTTAGGGGCTTCTGAGGTCTAAGGTCATAAAAAATTTTGTATTTGGCGAACTCACCAACCATTTCGTCCATACAGGATAATGGAGTAAATTGGTTGATAGTTTGCGAGTAGTCTATGACCATTAGCTTTTTTTATTATTATTTTCAGAGGTTGTTATTAAATTTGAGCCCTCCACGGAGATTTACTTCTATTAATCCCGCTTATTACTCTGGTTATTTCTGCTGAATAAATTTTTTGTAAGAATATCGTCTAGATTTAATGGCTACTGGTTTGCAGCCTGTAGTTAGATTATCGAAGAGAGGAATATCGTATATCTATATCCAGAGCGCAGATATTTAGAACCGGTTTGGGGACCCCGAAAGGGATTTTAACACTGGAATAGCGCCCGAGTAAGTCACAACCTAGTAAAGCGTCACATCATAAGTCGGGGATTACTAGAAGTTTAATATCGTCGCAATTATTCTTTTATTTATTTTCCGGCCATGTTATAAGCGATAGTTTGGGAAGATAGTGAGGTGTTTGTCACGGGTATTTTACTATAAAAACGCATAAATTTCCAACCGTTTACCTTTTCGCTCTCCGCATTGAAGAAACTTTGTGAGCTTCCAGCATCAGTTAAAGCATTAATGGTTACCCTGTTAATTTTCATTTTTAAGATGCCATTTGAAAGGCATTTAGGAGACGTAATTGATATTATATTGGTTGCTAGGGTCGCCGGTGCTGTCGAACAAGAAGAAACGGCCCAGCAAACTTTAGAAAAATGCCACTTTCACCTCTCTCTCTCTCTCTCTCTCACACACACACACACAGATACACACAGACACACACTTGTGGCATAGCAACTCTCGTACAAGACAAGATGAACGCGGGGTGAGAATTGAGGTCACACAAATAACATTTACGCCGAGTTGAGGCAGCAATAACAGGGTTTACGAAATACTCAGAAGTGAGTGTTAGAACTGTGGGATCCAAAGAACATGAGAGGGTGCAGAAACGGTAGTATTTGAAGCGAGAGATGAAGTACCCTGGGTAAAAGAAAAAATTTCGAACCTGAAGGAGTTCCGAGGTATGATTCCAGATTGTTTCTGTGCTATGTCCAATAAGAGGGCCCAGTCATAAGCTGTTGCCAGGTCTAAAGATTTACTTTCAAGCCATCTTATTTGGTGGGACGATGTACCGTTAATAAAGGCGTCCCTTATGAATTCGTCCAGATCTTAGTCCATTGTCAATGTCTTGAAGTGGCAGTCCCGACTTAGTGTATTTAATGCCTGTAAACAGGGATCCAAATTATCTCGCTGAGAGAACGAGGCAAGCAAAAATGGCGTTTTTGCTTTAGACGAATACTCCCTCTAGAATGCCAACAACAGTTGTGTAGTCTTCGCAGGAAGAAATATGGATAGAATTCCGAGTGGAGACGTGATGAAATAATACGGATAGCTTTTACGTTGCGGATATTCTCGCGAATGACGACGCCTATGGCACTGCGTTAAAGCTATCGAATAACCTTTTCCAATGGTTTCACTTATCAGGGATCTAGGTAAATTGCTCGAAAAATAATTTCTCGAAGTATCAATCGCTCGAAAGGCAGATTGCTCGAAATAATTTCGAAATCGAAGCACCAGGTAAACTACACCGTCTCACGACACGCCAATGGAGCTGGATATAAAAGGAGCCACAACACTCAACTTTAGCAGTCCTGATTTTTTTTTCTATATTTATTTTCTATTTCTCTTTCAGTAATTTTGGAGATCTCGAACCCTAGTGATGGACATAACTTTTGTTGAGAGCGAAAAAGGGAAGAAGTTGTGTTTGGATGGATATATATATATTAAAGGACAAAACAGTGAACAATAAGATTTACTGGAAATGTGAAATGTGCAAAAAAAAAAAAAACGGAAATGCTTAGCACGTGTTTTATTTTTCGTAACCACAGGTTTCGAGCAGACTACCTTTCGAGAAAAAAAATAAGACCTGCTATATAAATGTACTCGTTCTTTAATTTTAACTGTTCAGTTAACAACAATAAAATTGTATTATTTTATCTTATAGTAAATATTAGAAACAATGTAGTTTTTTTTTTTTTTTAACCGCAGATTTCGAGCAAACTGCCTTTTGAGCAATTGATAGTTCGAGAAATTATTTTTCGAGCAATTTACTGTCGAGCAATTGATTTCGAGCAATTAACCGGATACGCGCTTATCGTTAATGTCTAATTAGATGTATCATTATCCAAACACTCGAGTTTCAGATATTTGTTCATAGTTGAATAAATTGTAATGGAAATCAACCGCGGTAGTCGCTTTATTCAACTATAACTCAAATCTGGCAAGAAACAGGAAAAAGCTTATTCATTTTATGTCCGGGTGGGGAACAACTATGGTTGACTTCCACCACAATATAAATAATATATTTATTTTGTAAAAAATACAAAATTGTGGCACAAGGCCGAAGGGGGCGTAGGGAAAGGTTGGTCTTTCACTAGCTATCCTATTCCTAGTTAACCCCAATCATGACCTATTCATGTAAATATTTTTGGCAGTAAGCGATGCGGAACAATGACAATGGATTTTTTTTTAGTCACGAATTTTCTAACTTCGAAAATTGCGATAATATTGAATAAACGTTACTTAAATAGTTCAATTTTCTTTTCTAAATTATTTTTTTTCTTTAGTGATTTAAAATAGTTACCTATTTATTTCTAAAACGGCTGATATTTTTTGCTTTGTTAATTTTGTCATGAATTGTAACTTATAGTTTAGAGAGCGCATTATACGAAATAAAGGTACACGATAAAAAAAAAGAAAAGAGAAACCCATCTAGAGGATAAAAAAGAAGAGGAAAAAAAGAAATAAGCGAAATGAATGACAGAGAAAAAAATGAAGCAAGCAAAAAGCGAAAGAAGGAAGCAAGCAAAATAAATGAAAGAGACGGGATGAAATAAGCAAAATTTAATAAAGCTAATAAGCAAAATAAATGAAAGAAACAGAATGAAATAAGCAAAGTAAGTGAAAGAGACATAATAAAATAAGCAAAATGAATCAAAGCAAAAGACTGAAGCAAGCAGGATAAGTAAAAGATACTGAATGAAATAAGTAAAATGAATGAAAGTGAAGACAAAATTAATTAAAAAAAATAAATAAGAAAAAATAAATGAAAGAGACAGAATGAAATAAGCAAAATAAATGAAACAAAATACTGAAGCAAGCAAAATAAGTGGAAGAGATATAATAAAATAAGCAAAATTAATCAAAGCAAAAGACTGAAATAAACAAGATGATAAAATGAGACTGAATGAAATAAGCAAAATAAATATAGTCTAAGGCAAAATTAATTTAAAAAAGGGAAGTAAAAAGAAAAAAATGAAAGCGACAGTTAAAAAAGCAAACTAAATGAAAGAGACAGAATTAAATAAGTAAAATGAATGAAAGCAACAGAAAGACGTAAGTAGAATAAAAACCTGTAGAAAAATGTAAAAAAACAATTCAAATGTAGAAGCAAACGATAATAAAAATAGGAAACATTAATGAAAAGTAACCGAAACAATGCTGGTTGGAAAAAAGAAACGAAGTACAAAAGAAACGAGACCAAAGCCAGGAAATTTTTCTCGCCGGAATCGATACTTCAAATATACAAATCAACCATTCGCCCTTGCATGGAGCATTGCTGCCATATATGGTCTGGTGCACCTTCTGTTTACCTCGGAGTTCTTGACAAGATTCAGAAACGGTTATGCAATATAATTGGCCCTGATCTGGCATCTCGTCTACTGCCACTCTTTCACAGACGCGCCGTTGCCTCTCTCTGTCTTTTCTACAAAAACTTTCATAGTAATTGCTCCGCTGAGCTGCTTTCACTGGTTCCTAGACTCCATGAATTCAAGCGCTCTACGAGGCTGGCATCCCGCTTTCACCCTTTCCCTGTAGAAACTTTTAAATGTAGCCGCCTCTCCTACTCCAATAGGTTCATACCTCGCACCTCGCACCTCTCACCTGTGGAACACCCTTCCCTATTACTGTTTCCCTGAGAGCTATAATCCCCAACTATTCAAATGTAATGTCAATCGACATCTCCAGTTACCTTGATCTACCCACTATCCCTCGCCTCATCCTTTCTTCTATCGCTCCTATCTGCTCTCGCTCCAAATCTTCTGCGACCCCCTGCACTCTGGTGGCTTCACGCCTTGCTCGGGGCGTAATGCTTAAAAAAAATACGAAGTGTTCTAGGAAACTATCCAACCATCTTGAATATAAAGAGAACGATTTGAAATGGAGATTGGCAATTAATCAAAAGAATCTTTACTTCGCCTACTTGAACAGCCGTTCTACTTTTGGTTACTCGGTCAGCAGCAAGATGTTGTTCAGTTATCATGTCTATTAATTTTCATATGCGTCAATCTTTGTTTGGAAATTGGAGTTCATCCACGCAAATTATGGGAATGAATTTCGGGAATTATTCATGGAACGAATCCCAGATAAAGATTTAGTAGCACCTCTTCAAATCTAGCCTGGGGTTCATTTAAGGAGATCCCAATTTTGATAGTTCTCCAACAAGTTGATATCTCGAAAATGTTGAACGACAGCAGGTTGCAATCGCATAAAATCAGAGATTGACTAGATGAGACTTAGAAGATCCAGGAATTAGACGGATTGTTCGCAAAGTATCCGGCCATTTTCAATAACTTTTAGCCACGTTCAATCACAATTTCCTGCATTAGTGACCAATCGCATCTGCATCATCATTATGCATGTCGAAGATATTTAATAAGATTAGAACAGTGTAGCAGATTGTAAATGAGGGTCAGGCATGTTGCGTTGCTCCAATTTCCCAAGTGAAAAGCGCAGGATTGCCTTGAAAATCAGCATTCGCCTTTATTTTTAATTTAGGCTTGGACGCTAAAAAATGACAACAGTTAGAAATGCGTAATAATCTATGGCATTAACCTAATCTGAGATGAAAAGATAATACTAAAAAAAGAAATAATGAGAATGTTTTGAAGAAAGAAAGAAAAAGAAAGGAATGATGAATAAAATGCAAGGAAGGAGTAAATAGCAAGAAGGAAACAAGCGAGGCATAAAAGAAAAGTAAGGAAACAATGAAAGGAAGGAAGAAATGAAAGAAATTAAAGGAAGGAAGGAAGGAAGGAAATTAAAGAAAGTGGGAGGAACATAGAATGCAGAGAAGAAAAAGAAGCAAGGGAAGAGCAAAGAATGAATTATAAATAGAAATACAAATTTGAAGTCAAATGGATGCGACTGAAATGAAAAAAGGAAAGAAGAAAAAAAGGGACAAATGTGGGGAAAAGAAGACTGGCAGGAAGAAAACGAAGAAGTTTGTGAGAGGAAAGGATAAAACTTGAAGAATGAAGCCGAAAAATGATGACAAGTAGATAACAATGTCTAAAGGACAGATGGAAAATTAATTATGAACAGAAGACAATGAGTTAAACAGAGTTCTCACGAGATAAAAAAGGACATGAAGAATAATTATCTGAGTGAGGCCTCAAACAAAAGTGAGGAATAAATCAGCTCATCTATGACAAGGATTTCAAATTTTAAATATTGGTTTGACCAAAAAGTCCGTTCGCTTATTAAGCAGAAAATTTACTTAATAAACCGTAGAAAATTCTTGACCATTTCAATAAAAGCAAACAAATTAAACTTGCCACTTGTAACTAAATCGGTTTATTAAATTATTTTTCATTTCATTTCCCGCTTGTATCATTGTGGTTTACTAAGCTTAACGTAGTCTGGCACAAGAACATGTACTTGGATCCAGGTTCAAAGTCAAAATAACTACATCGGCCAATTTGTCTTCAAGATAACAAAACATTTCGTATAAGCAGTCACACCAATAATAATAATTATAATAATAATAATAATAATAACAACAAGAAGAAGAACAGAGGGAGTAATGATTGCTACTTCCATGGTATGTGTTGTGATGAGGTACATGCTTTAATACTACCACCCCTGACTTTTACACCTGGGTCTCGCCATGCCACGTACACAGGGGTTAATCATCTTCATTCACTTCGTATTCCTACAGTACGAAGTAAGTTCCATTCGGACAGCTTCTTCTCAAAAATCGTTGGTTTCTGGAGCTTTCTCCTGGCATGATGTTGTCCGAATCCCTAGAATTTTGACCTCCTCAAGTCTAGGGTTAACCTTTATCTCTAGTGTATAACCCCATAAATTTAATCCCTTGCCCTTTCGTACGCTCATAAAATACCTCACGGTAACTGTTATATAGGAATATAGTGTCGCTGCCGACACTGGGGTTTGAACAAAGATCCAAGAGAGCAAATACAGGCGATCCCATTTTGAATAAGTAGATCATGTAACGGTAATGGAAACCTATATATGGGAATTAGCGTGCTGTCTAAGTGATCATGATACGGATTACTATTCGGATTACTATACGGATCACTATTCGGTAGTTACTATTCGTGCGAGTATTATCGAGCAAGTACTATCACTGCGAGTGTTGTTTGAAGGCGTCTGGCACCAGTATTGTTCAACGGCATTACTATAGCTGTATCTGCGATTACAAAGTCTCTACTATAACGAGCATTATAAAAGTGACAACGAGTAGTCGTTGACATAAAAAAAAAAGATCGCAACGAGGGTTCGTTCATATCACAAAAGTAATCCTCTACCTAGAGTGGCTCTTGGGACTTCTATTGAGTGAACATTAGTTTAAAAACTGAGGTCCAGAAGTATATAACATTTGAACAACGAGGAAGTGCTAATGAAAGAGGAAACTAGAAAACAGTCATATCTCACTCAAATCAGAAAGATAGTTGGAATTTCTTTGAGATAAATGGATAACACGTGTATTTTCGTAGAGAAAATAACAACGCGTTCAAGATGTTGATGTTCCACACTACATCAAACAAAAAGTTAGGAGAAGAAGCCCCATCAATCGTAGAAAGAACAATAACATTTACTGGACATTAGAAAACTATTTTCCTGAGAAAATATTTTAGGATTTAAGTTGTACAAATTTCAAAAGACAGTAACATTGGCTGGTCTGTCAACGAGTAAGTTATTTTATATGGAAAACTTACATTTTATGACTGATATTACGATTCCTGTAAGAAATGAAGAGAACAGATACTATACTTTGATCCCAGAACGAGGGCTAGAGACTGAAGAAGCGCGTAACTCGTGAAGCACTGGATGTTTGGTCAAGGAAGGCTGAATGTTTCTTTATAAGGAAACTGCTAATATTATCATGCTGAAGAGTGGCTTAGTACAGGGTGCAACGGTTAATTTGCACATATGAGTTGTTTGTTTTTTATTTTGTTGACTGCACAGGATAGTAGGGTCAGTTGGGCACCGTCTGTGAGAAAAAGAACACCATGATGCAATTCACTCAGCCAAACATTTGAAAACGTCATGCAGAACTGTCTGGCATTCGCACCGGAAGCTCTAATACGAACATTTCAGTGTGTCTTGATGTCAATCTGATGACAGTGAAGAGGATTCAGAAAGTGTTGGATGATATATCCAGTCAACATTATGGTGTTTGAAGAAATCACTAGCGATTTCGACGTTAAGCTTCCAATCATCTTCTCACAATGCCTCAGACTCGACACTAAGACTTACAACAATTGACTTGAGAAAATAGTGTTCCCCTGGGTCAAGAAGTTGGCTGCTGAAAGACACTATGTCTAGCAACAGGATTCTGCCACATGCCACACAAGCAGGAGAACCCAGTCATGGCTCTCTGACATTTTCTGCGACCACAACCCCCTTAAATCTGGCCACCTAACTCCCATGACTGCAACCCCCTTGATTATTATGTGTGGGCCACAGTTAAGCGAAAGACCAACAAAACTCCTTGTAACACCAAACATGAACCGCAGGCAAGAATTACGGCAGTATTCTCCAACTGAAACAAGGAGACCGTCCAGAAGAGTTGCAGGAGATTCCGAAGTCGTCTGCAGGTCGTAGTAAAAACTAGTAGCGATATTTTGGAATAAATCTACTCTTTAGCATTTCGAGATATTTTTGTGTAATTTTGGTAAATATATCTGTTATAAATGCGATGTCAGTGTTATTTTCCTTTAGACGACAATTTATCCATCGCGCCCTGTATATGCAATACTCAATGGACATATTTTGGGAAATAGGAGTAGAGAGAGATAACGAAAACAAGGAGTGCTTGTAAAGAGTCAAACGTTGCTTGAATTTAAAGGAAGTTGTGAAGAGCCATAATCGCCCAGGTCCTGAAGGAACACGGCACATAAATGATAATGCATATATATTTCCATATATATATATATATATATATATATATATATATATATATATATATATGGGGGGGGAGTTGTGTGTGTGTGTGTGTGTGTGTGTGTGTGTGTGTGTGTGTGTGTGTGTGTGATCGTTTTACGATCAAGAGACGTGGGTTCGTATCTCATCAGTGATGATTTGTTAGGAATGTGTCCCCAATGTTATTGCCCTGAGGAGGTGATCCCTTTGATTGAAAAGGTACTATCCTGTAGGATTACTCTTAAAACAGTTAGAAAGTTGATGACGATTTACTGGTTGAGTTGGAACATGGGAAATACATAGAAAATATAATATAGTTGGAGTCCTTTCATAATATCAAAATTAAAACCTTCCTTCAAGCAAGACTGAATACTTCTAAGGGAGTCATTAGAAGTAACGATTTGTCTCTGACCACATCTGAGGAAATTACATCTGCCTTATGAAGCCAAACTGTGAGCGATTAGCATAGAATTTCAATTAAATGAAAAGGGAAAACAATTATAACTGACACATATATCCTTACTTTTGGCACACCTGAAATCCCCTGAAATAAAAATAGAGTATAATATTGAGCCAGTGGGACTATATATTCCTGCTCCATTAAGACTCTTCATAGGGATAGATGCAGGAATCGCCCAACATGAGGGAAATATGGCCAAAAGGATTCAGACTATTCTGAAGAAGAATGCCATGATGAAATAAGATGTGCTAACTGCCAGAAAAAGCCATCCATGAACATGCGATTTCTGGAAAAAGGAATGGGAAATTGTCTAAGTAAAATATAAAAGAAAGATCTCATTTTCAGAAGCAATGCAAATAGTAGAAAGTTACATGTAAGACCATTCCTACGCGAAAGTAACGGAAAATAAGACTAAAATAATGCTGACAAATACAGAGCCCTCAGTGAGAGTCTCGTACACTTGGGACCAAATGACTGGCCTAAATTTCAAACTTACCTAAAATGTCTATATTCCAAGGAAATGATGCACTCTGAACCGCAAAAGAAGGACAATGTAAAATCTGAAATAATAAATAAAGAAAAAACAAATGGAAAATCATCAGCTCAAACACAAAACACTCCTAGCAAAAAATACCAAATCTCCTACTAAACAAAGGTCACAGCGATCTCCTATCCGTCCACCAAAATCCATGAAATACAGAATAAAACACTTCCCCCCACAAAAAACAGAATCAGCCAAACAAAAGCCGGAAATCAGAAACGACCAAATTCCTACGCAAAATCGATTTCACAAACTAGAAAAGATGGAGGTAGAAAGCCAGAACCCTCAAATGGCTAAAAACCCCAAAATAGTAAAAAGAAATCAGAACCATATAAACTAAAAGCCGAAAACGTTTAAACATCCATGCATAGGATAATTCAATGGAACTGCCGTGGAATAAAGAAATTATAAATGTACTCTTTCTGTCATTGGCAGTTATTTGCCTTCAGAAAACATTCCTTAAGCAAGGTGACAAGGTGAATATAAAAGATTGATAGCAATACAACCGTCCAACTGGCATTGGCCTTTGTGCATCTGGCGATATATCTATCATAGTTAGGAATAGTGTACCCCAAAGTAAAATAAATTTGACAACTACTTTACAGGTGACTGCTGTTAAAGTGACCCTATATAGGCCAATAAACATTTACTCCGTAAATACCCCACCTTACGAATGAGTAAATGAAGCTGAAATTTACGCAATTATAAGGCACCCCCTTCACCCCTCTCTATGATACTAGAGGACTTTAATTGTCACAGCGCCATATTGCGCTGTAAAACACAAACCAAAAGGGAAGGACTTTACAAAAAATTATAAACAACAATGATTTATGTATTTATAACGATAAATCTCCGACTTACATAAATCCATTTATTCTGCAATAGATTTATCCATGTGTGATCTGTCAATCTATATGGCTTTCTCTTGGGAGGTTATGGCGGACACATGCACTTGCCAAATGTTCTGCAAAATTCAGAACATAATGATAAAAATCCTCTCTGTTGGAAAATAAGCGGTGCGAATTGGGCCGAAACTAAAAAAAAACAATCTTCGGATAAACAAGCTGAAAATAAAGGCATGAAGGGTTTATAAACAGTTTACGGAAATCCTTATATCTATAGCAAAGGAATGCATTCCAAAAAGTTCAGTATCAAAAAACGTAATAGACCTTAGTTCAATGATGGGTGTAAGGAAGCTATCAGAATCAGAAGTACTTTGAAAGA